AGAGAGAGAGAGAGAGAGAGTGGTGACAGGAGAAGTGTGGCCTTACCTTAGGAGTGAGTAGGCATGAGAGGAACTTCCTCTTGTCCCCGATGAGCATGGCGTTACTGATGATGGGCAGCTCCTCCTTCACCGTGTCCTCGATCAGGACAGGGGGGATGTTCTCTCCGCCCGCCGTGATGATCAGTTCTACAACACAGGAGAACCACAAGGAGTTAGTACACATTGCTACAGGTAATGAAATGCTTCTGCACATTTAACGAGAAATTTAAAGAGAAACTGCCGTGATGATCAGTTCTACAACACAGGAAAACGGGCACCACATGTCAGTACATCTTCCTACAACAAGTCCCACAGTACAGGTACTCACTGCCACCTAGCTGTAGCTACATTTGTAGGGTGGCGGACAGGGAGTAGCACCCCTGCCCATTGAGGAGCCGGGTCTCTTAAGTCATACCTCACACCACCAACAGACTTCACAACACCAAGCAACCACCCCTTACATGTGCATGGTCAGGCATGGACACTAACATCGAGTCCAAAACTAAGCAAACTTCCAGAATTCCATAAAAAGTTCTTAAGCTATGTGGGATTATTACATTCCTACACGTGACAACCATGTGTGATTACTACATCTACTTGCTGATGCATTTGCTTTTGAAAAAGTGCTACGAGGCTCCCCACCTTTGATCCTGCCTGTGATGTAGAGGTATCCCTCCTGGTCCTTCTTGCCGAGGTCTCCTGAGTGGAGCAGCCCCTCCTCATCCAGGGCCTCTCGTGTCTTATCCTCCATCTTCAGGTACCCCATGAACACGTGCCGACCGTAGAAACACACCTGGTGAAAGGAAAAACAGGTACCCCATGAACACGTGCCGACCGTAGAAACACACCTGGTGAAAGGAAAAACAGGTACCCCATGAACACGTGCCGACCGTAGAAACACACCTGGTGAAAGGAAAAACAGGTACCCCATGAACACGTGACGACCATAGAAACACACCTGGTGAAAGGAAAAACAGGTAACCCATGAACACGTGCCGACCATAGAAACACACCTGGTGAAAGGAAAAACAGGTAACCCATGAACACGTGCCGACCATAGAAACACACCTGGTGAAAGGAAAAACTCATAACTAAAAAGCAAATGCATATGTTTACCTTCGCATATGGTCTGCTCTGTTAATTCTTACTTGAACACATTCATATACATGTATGGTGACAGGAGTCTAAAATGCTATAAAATTGCAACATGATGCAATCTAACACTAGTTACTATGGTGACAGACGTCTGGTTCAGGTCATTGACCTTATTGGTTTGGAAAAGAAGAGGAAGAAGAGGAAACAGCAAAAAACAATATGTTTTTCTTCGGTAAACATAATATTCTGGTAAGAGAAGTTTGGTAGGGTCCAAAGTTCGGTAGTGTTTTGAAAATCATTGTTCTAGAGATATGCATGTGTGTCTGCATGTGATAATGACATCTAGACATGTCTAAAGTATTAAAAGTGGAGGTAACTTGAACTTTTCTCACCTCTCCGATGCCTTCGTCGTCAGCGTTCTTGATGACAGTGGTGGCTCCTGGGAACTCGGACCCACAGCTGCCCAGTCGGAAGTGATGGGGCAGGGCCATGGTGTGGGGGCCTGCATGGGGAATCATAAAAAACACAGGAAAACTTTATTGACAACAAAAGTACAGCGACAAACACAAAAGAATCTTCAAGGAAGCCACTATGCTAGGAGATGGTGGCAAATGATCCTTTTGAAGGCTTTTGAGTTGTATTCTGAAGGGAAACACTGCATCTGATGAGTGTCAGAAAAATAATAAAATCTTTGTTGTAGCACTGTCTTGTTTAAGATTTTGAAGTTAGCTCCCATTTCAGATTCAAGCTCAGAAGATGAGATGTGTAATTAGGTTTTGTTTTATATGGTGCACACACATAATTTTATGGTGCACACACATAATTTTGTGTCCAACCAACTTTTAGCTTGGGTGCACCAGTGCATCTATTTCCAAAAATGAATTTCAAGCCCTGTAGATGATATTGTGAATAGATAAATAAAAAAAAAATCCTGACCTGTGCTCTCGCTCATGCCGTACAGCTCGTACAGGGGGATGTTGATGCTCATGAAGTACTGGAGCGTCTCCATGGCGATGGGCGCGGCCCCGGAGAACTGCAGCCGGCACCTGTCCAGCCCCAGGGCCTTGCGGATGTTACGGAACACCACCATGTTGGCAATGGTCCAGCCCCACGGAGGAGAGTGTCTGGGGAGGAATGTGTACATGTAGGTCATTGTTGAACCTGTGAAATCGAGAAAGTTCATTGAACAAACTGCATAAACTCCAAGGGGTAACAGACTGTGGCCATGTACATGTATGTGGGGTAGTATACAATGTACATACCTGGGCCGTGATAACCTTCGATAACAGCGTTCTAGACTGGACTGTACTTGACAGTACAGCCCAGGCTTCCATAGAGTAATTCAAACGCGTTTCACTCTAACCATGCATGCAGCTTTCAAAAATTCAAATTCAGACGTTGGTATTGAATGTTGTTGGCTTTTTTGGTTTAGGGACACCAAACTTTCGCTCATTTTGCATTGAAGGTGTCTATGTTTTCTTGGGTGGGTATGACATAGATAAAATGTAACACAGCGTATTCCTGTGGGTTGGGCTTGTACCTCGGGAGATATGGAACACCCTGTGTTGTATTCTATATTTACATACCCTTTCATGATGTTCATGTTGCCGGCCAGGCCGATGCCTTTGGCCCAGGTGCCGATCTTCTTCTTCATGCCTCGTGACTCCCTGCCGATGGCCTGGAGCTTGTCCGCGATCTTCTCCCAGACTCTGGGCACGCCCAGCAGGGCCGTGGGACGCACCTCCTTCAGCGTCTGCACCAGGGAACCCTGGCAAGACATGTCCATGCAGGTTAGACATCCAGGTTTCAGTTTCAGTTTATTGGAATGCCCTTTTTTTAGCCCCTTAAGGGGCTAATCTTTCAGGGCTCCTTTTTCTGCACTTCTTGAATACTTGAGAAGACTTGGTCGCTGAGATGCCATGCTTTGTTCCTTAAATTCTTGTTACAACGTTTATGATGGTCTCTATGTAAAAAATTGCGAACATTATGTTTTTCTTTCCGTACTCTCGCAAATATTAGATTAGGATCTGCAGAGGGTGTTTCATTTACAAGATTTACTCGCTGAAAATAGACAAAATTATACAGTTTATACAAGCTCTGACTCTCTGTACATATCTTCATCTGTACTACTTACTTTTCCAGACATTCCCTTACCTCTTATGCTTTAATGTTTACTCAAGAGGCTTCGACTAGTGATATAACATCCTTGGTTTACTGTATGTTGTCCTCCTTTGTTTTACTGTATGTAACAATGTCTTGTCTTGTAACATGCTGGGCCCCCTTGGAAAACAGCTACATGTATTGCAGGCTGAATGGGGCCACCCAGCTGTCCTGAGATGAAATAAATAAATAAATACCTTGAGGGCATCTGGCTGTGCGAAGTAGGTGCTCCCTGCGTTGCACATGGGGGCGAAGATGTCAAGCATCTGCCCTGCCACGTGGCTGAGGGGGAGGTAACTCACGCTGATCTCCTTCCCCATCCGCAGGGACGCGTACTCCGAGGCGTAGTGGGCTGTCCACGTGATCTGGGACAGACATGGAGTAGGATATAGGATTAAACAGGGACAGGGGGCGTAAATACGTGAAGCCAGTATATGACGTCTCTTGTCACATGATAATCACATCAATTCACGTGATGAGAGAACTCCAAGACGAGATCTGACTTTACCGGGTTGAAGAAGAGACAGAGTGTGTCTTTTTTTGGGGGGTTTCCTTATAAATATTTGTAAAAAACTTAACGATAAGTTATAATATATCAGACTGACACAAGTGCATCGATGAAGGTTAGAACTTGGATTAATTCCTGATTTTTGCAGTACTTTTACGTTAACTTTGCAGTTTTCACGGTCACTTCTGGACCACAAAATCATCATTATTGTGAAAAAAAATTCATAGAGATTGAACTTTACAACTATGGATTCTACCAACACAGATGAGCTTTCATTCGAACCCAACTCACGTTGTCGTGACTGAGCATGGCTCCCTTGGGGTTTCCGGTGGTGCCTGATGTGTAGATGAGCACACAGCACTGGTTGGGCACCTGGGCGGAGATGCGGTCCTCCAGAGTCTTGTCAGCCACATCAGAGCCCAGCTTCATGAACTCTTCCCACTGTCATGCACAAGTCACATGTTATTTATTTTATTTCATTTTATTCACATGGATTTATGAGCATTGGAACAGCAAGCACATATGTGCTTATAAGATCCTTTGCTCAAGAACATACAAAATACAGGTTGAAATAAGAAATACAAAAATGTAAAACGAATATAAAATGAAAGTGGCCGCTGCACCAATAGACATAAAATAAATGTTGTTAATGCGATAAATCAAATCTTCAGGACTGAGAAATGAAATGGTACACAGTATCGAAAATATGTCAATTAGTACAGTATGGGAGGGAGGGGCTACCGGTAAGGAGTAAAGTGCATAATGTGGTGTCATTTCAGTTGAGTGGGTCAAGGGTCACATGTTATCGTATATCAAATGAATGAGTGAAGACCCTTACTGTATATACATGTATATGCCCACTGGGTTAAGTGCAGGTCACAACAAAAGAACAGTTTGCAGATAAAAGTATACCTTGTCAAGTTACCACAAGTACCATAGTATATAGTACACGCCATGACTAGATTTTTGGCTATCACTGACTCACCGTGTAGAGGTTTGGACGTTTCTGCTCCAGAGGTCCTGTGTACTGCACCACAGCCTTTAGGTGGGGCAGCTTGTCCCAGACCTGTAAGGGAGGAACAGGATTTCAAAAAATTAGTCTGCATCTGTACATGTTTAGGCAGTACAAACTGCCACAATCCTTCCACAAATGTGGTTGATCTCAATAGATAAACAAATAATGTTTTCCAAGTACATGTGATATCAAGTACAGCGCTCGAAATACTGGGTGCATGTGCACCTTAGTGCACCCAAATTTCAAGGTGTGCACCTAATCCTTTTCTGTGGGTGCACCTGTGCATCCAAATACAAGTATTTTCGTAGGTTAATGTGTGTGAAGATGTTAAATGTACATGACACTGTAGTATACAGCATATTCTTAACATCTAAGTGTAAGAAAATAATAAAATCATTGAAACATTATTAGTTAGCTGACATTTTACTTATTTCATCTTATACGGTGCACCCCAAACATTTTTGTGCACCTAATTTTTTAGGTTGAGTGCATCAGTGCACCTATTCCCAAAAATGAAATTCGAGCCCTGGATAAACAAATAATGTTTTCCAACTACATGTGATATCAAGTAGTTTTTCTCACCTTCAGAATCTTCTGCAGCTGAACGTTGTTTTCGACAATGATGACGTTTGCCTCGCAGCTCTCTGCCACATAGCGGCAGGCCTCGGCGTTGTTGGTTGTGTAGATGCCCACACCAAAACCTCTGGAGATCCACAGAAAAACAGAGTTAGTTTCATAAATTATCTGGCTGGAATATGGTGTAAAAATGATAAGACATTTTGTTCCTAAAGTGCATACATATACTATAGCCAGAACGTAGGCAGATCGTACTGCGCCTGCGGAAAACTCTGATTTTTTCACGGTTTTCACTTTTCATTTTTGGTCAACATTGCATCAGAATTTTGTCTGTTGCAGATGATATCTTTTCTGACACAACATTTGGAAACTACAGACAGGATGTTAACCACGTGAATACGACCTTATGTGAGACGTTCTGCCGAAGTGCCATGGTTTTGCACAGGTGCAGTACGGTCTGCCGACGTGCTTGTTTCAAGCCCATGTCGATGAAGAATACGTACCCTGCCAGGATGGCTCCAAGGTGACCCATGAACCACTCCGGGGAGTTGAACCCGATGATGCCGACACCGTGGAACCTCTCCAGGCCAAGCTGCAGAAAACAGGCGCAAATATCTGGTCACCAACTTCATACCAAACTTTTGCAAGAACAGTATTTACTTATTATGTTTTATGATGCTATCATGAAAGTTAATCTTTGTTGATGTTTAAAGTTAAAACTTTCGATCCAACACAAAGAATAGTTCTGACCTAGAGCTTTTGACCAGTCACTCTGGGCTTCCTCGGTAGACTGACCCAGTGATTTATTGACGGAAGCTCTACCTGAGTGAGAACCATTCTTTGTGTTGGATCAAAATTTTAAACTTTAAACGAGTTTTAAGATGCTTTCAAAGTCCTTAGAATGGGAAATTAAGAAATGAGATGGGATTTCTGAGACGGTACTTCACCTGCTTTCTCTGTCATGACCAGTTTAAGAGTAACTCAACTGTTCACTGAGTTTGTTCAGCTAATCTGGTAAGAAATGGCTTCCAATGTGACTAACCTTGATCAAACTCTTGGCAGCCTTGCAGCAGGCGTCGTAGTACTCTTGGTACGTCCACTTCAGCCAAACGTCGTTTCTCTTCACCCCCAGGGCGGTCTGGTCGGGGTAGTTCTTCACAGCTCTGTGGTGGAGAGGGAGACAACGTTAGCCGACAGACAAACTGCATGTTTGTTTGTTCGTTTACCTTATTTACACAACAACATAAAACAGAGAAGTAGTGATACATAAAAAAAAGAAGCTCCTCCACTTAAGTGGAGGTTTACTTTTCACAGTCATTTTTTACTATTAGAGATTCAGTAAATTCATTTATTTTCACAAAAAAAGTCCTGTTCCACTCTGTGCAGAGCATAGGGTGGTGCCAATCTTCATTTCTGTAGCCCTTGGGCCACACAGTTGTGCAAGCACTACAGCAGGGGGCTAGCCCGCTGGTAGTGCTGTGTGTTTGACCTTCCCACACTCTTTCTCAATCATAGATGCTGAGTGCTAAGCAGAGAAAGCAGTGTGTACCATTTGTTAAGTCTTTGGTGTTACCCGGCGGGGGTTTGAACTCACAACGATCTCCCAAAGCGAGCACTCGACCCAATTGAGCTATTGCTCTGGTATCTTGTGGTTAGAATCTCACAAAACAAAACAAAGGATAGAACATAGATCCCCATACCTGGTGAACATGGCGTGTACAGTTTCAGGTGGGCGTGACAGAGCACCTGTCTCACTCATGCGCAGCTGCACGGCTCCATCCGCCTTCCACGTCATCAGGCTGTCAGCTGATAACAACCCGGCCGGCGTCACTCCTGGAAGGGACAGGTGGTAAGGTGGTTAGGGTAGTACACTTAAGAATCTTCAGGTTCTGGGTTCGAATCCCTAACACTGTGCCCTTTTACTTCCTTACTCTACTGACTTTTAAGCAGACAAAACGTTAAAAAGGCAAGTGGCAAGGTGGTCTTGTGGTTAGGGTAGTACACTTAAGAATCTTAAGGTTCTGGGTTCGAATCCCTGACAGGCCCCAATGTTTCACTCTTGTACACTTATTTCTTTAGAATCTAAACGTTCTGGTTCGAATCCCTGGCCGGCCCCAATGTTACGCTCTTGTACACTTATTTCCTTAGAATCTAATTTAAAAGGTTCTGGTTGGAATCCTTGAGGGGCCCCAATGTTTCGCTCTTGTTCACTTGTTTCCTTAGAATCTAAAAGTTCTGGGTTCGAATCCCTGACAGGCCCCAATGTTTCGCTCTTGTACACTTATTTCTTTAGAATCTAAACGTTCTGGTGCGAATCCTGGCTGGCCCGAATGCTATGCCAAAATACCAGAATTAAAAAGTAGCAAGTGGCAAAGTGGTTAGGACTGTTGACTGAAGGTTCTGGGTTCAAAGAAAATCCTAGCTGGCCCCAATATTGTGCCCTTGAACAAGGCACTTTACTCGTATTTCCTCCCTCTCCTCACACAGTAGGCAACCAGAATGGTGACAAGTTTGTATGATCAGTTAGGTATTTTCTTCTACAATTGTCCCCGTTAAACAAAGAATGGGCAAATTAGTTTGCACTTTGCAGTTGTCTATAGTATTGTGGTATGGCTTGCACAGTTTGGCATACAAAGCACTGTAATTTTAGTAAATACAGGCATTTGTACATACAGTTAGTAAGCTCTACTGACCTTTCTGTGATAGGGATACATGGATGTCAGCTGCGGAGACATCTCCATTTTCTGCAAGAGAAAATTGCATTAACAACTCAAGCAACAAAAGAAATTCATTCAGGTCACTTCAGCTTGATCAAGACTGATTGAAAGCTTGTTGGTACACAATGTACATTGTAAGTGCTTTACTTTGTACATGGAAAAAGTGTATTGTCACAGATGAACTTTCAAATACAGGAAATTGTTTATTTGTATACTGATATAACTTCAACGGACACAAATCTTACATGTGTCCAACCTGGGTCAACCTAATCTCAAAGCAGTCAATGGGGTCAAAGGTTGAAGTTGCCTGGTTGGCCATTTTGGATTTTCACTGGACAGTAAAGTCTAAGGAGTTAGTAGAGGAAAACAAAGGAAAGTTATCCATTTGCATACACCTCATGGATGTCTAGTTCAGAAACCAGACATTTATACTTTTATTACTATAAAAGATGAACAGCTGTACATTTAATACACTCAAAAGACTGGCCTGTCCAACTGTTCAACTCGTGTCCCTGACATGTACACAATAATGTACCTCCAGGCATGTTGCTGTGGATAATGGCTAAATGACCTGAATTCCCTCTCACTTTTCACATGCACACATGCTATCACTTTCCAAAACTAACTTTTGTTGCTGTCACAGGAAGTATTGTACCTATCTGAAATGCTTTGGTATGGAAGCAATAATTGTATTTCTATTATGATGATGTTTGGCCAAAACATTTGGATGCTGCTGTTCTGGAGGGTAAATTCTCTAAAAAATCTTCTTGACACTGAATGTTTAAATAAAAAATTTCAGTATGCTTTTGCAGTGGTCAGGGTAGGTCAAGGTTCATGTACATGTAGGATACAGCTGTTTAAAGGTGGTGTTTGAAGTTTGCAGTTGAAGCCATAATCTTTGTAACTGACAGTAATTACACTGGAATGCCTTTGCTTTTGTCCAATTCACAGTGGAGAGGCCAACACCATAATATACATTTGTAGCTACTGCAGAAGTTTCAAGATTGACAGGGGGTATATACATGTAAGTTGTAACCACGTTGGCAGAACGTACTGCACCTACGCCAAACCTGTAATGTATAGCGGTCCAGTATTCGTTTCTATGTGCGGGACACAACACCACCAGCAACAGCTGCCTCTGTTCCGTGTGTATGGCACTGTTGCAATTTCAATAAATAAAAAAAAAGTAAAAAAAATAAAAAAAATAATAGCACTTCGGCAGAACGTCTCCTATAAGGTGATATTCACGTGTATAAGGTTAACATCCTGTCTGTAGTTTCCAAATGTTATGTCAGAAAAGATGTCATCTGCAACAGGAAAAATTCTGATGCAACGTTGAACAAACATCCAACGAAAACCGTGAAAAATTAGGGTTTTGCACAGGCACAGTACGTTCTGCTGACGTGCTGAGTTTAATACCACAAATATAGCAAGCCTCTATGACCCTATAAATCACCTTTGAGGACTCCGTTCATGGTTCCGTTGACTCCCTTGCTCGTTGCCGTGTGGTTGCCGTGTGTCGGTGCGTGGTTGTCTGCGGTGACGCTCATGTCAGCAGGTCTGTCCCGCAGGCTACATGGCAACAAGGAGGGTGTTATTAGCCTGGTATTCCCTTCTGGGCATGGCGCTCGGCCATTACGGGTACAGTATTTGGGGTTAGACTGGATTTGGTTGGGGATATGCCCATAACAGGAACATGTACTGTGTTCCCAACAACATGTTAATATTGATTATTTTAGTCCAAGCCACGTTTGATGTTGTACATGTATTTACAATACGGATGTCTAACATATAAACTATCTTATCAAGGATTGATCTACTCAAGTTATATGACTATGTTTGATGGCATGCATTTCTTCAACTGATACGTTATACGACATACGTTATTAGTATTAGCGACGACGCCTGGGTAGCCCATTCCATACTTTGTGTTGTTGGAATTCCAATTCATTAATAAAATAAACAAATAATCAACACATGCAGTGGTCCATGGACTATTTTTCTTTCACGTCTTTCACTTTTTATCCCAATTGAAAGGTCTAAATTCCTAACCAGAAAAAAAAAAAACTGGGTAGGCGAGGTCAACACCTGGGCATCACCTGCAAAGTTACAAAAATGTATGATCACAACAATTTGAGTTTTTGTTGGATACTCATAAAAGGCTCAATAGCTTTTGTTTGTCCTGAACTTTGAGCTGTGCCGATTGACTGTTTTTGGGTGAGGATGAGGTTAAGTTATTGAATGCCTCGCGTACAGTACCACGTACTGTTTGTTTAGGATGATCCAACCCATGGCTTGCATAATACATCCCACATTTATAATTGATGAGGCCTAAATGTAGCGTGCCTCCATTTGGTCTACTGAGCCTAAACCCCAAAAGAAAGGGCGAGATCTGAGGCAAAACAGCAAAGCAGACAAATGATATCCTGCAAGTTCTGGATAAGTATTAGCACTATATAAAACACTGCTAATACATGTACACATCATTTCCACTCTATCACTATAATTGCGAAATATCCATGATCGAGGCTAAAACTAGAGAATGCGTGCGCATGCGGTTGAAGGCTAAAACTTTGCCTTTTACGTACCAACATTAGGCCCTAACAAAATTTTACGCTAAATTCAGGACTGCCTGCATATTGCAATTGTGCGCTTAATTCAGAGAAGTGCCTGCTATACAGCTCATTACGAGTAATATATGGAAGATTAAAAATAAAAATGTAGCCAATTTCTACCTCTAAAGCCTGGTAGAGGCTACATCACTGAGGGTCTTCTAAAAATTAGGCAGGAAGGGAGTTGAACATGTCTTAACACTACTAAAGAGAAAGACAAGACTTTTTACATAGTTTGTAAAGAAGCTACAGTAGGTTACCTTTGGGGCTGGCAGCCGGTGTCTCACTCTCAGTTCTACTGACTGAACAAGCTGAGACTTCACGTGTACTACAGTACCCTCGACCAGTGATCTTTAGACTTTGTACCCTGTTCTTTGCTCACCCCATATTGCCCAGTGTTACCTCTCGAACTTTGGACCGTCGGCACAATATTGTTCTTTGTTACAAGACCATGTATCCACGTGCCCCCGACAGGGTAGAAATACATTTTGCTTACCTTGTCTGGGACAAGTGGGCGATAGGGAACAGACTGGCATGACAAAGGTCGTTGATCCCAGTTATAGACCCGGACCCAGAACGAGGCATGACATTTGATACGACTTGATCTACGTACACGTACCCGTAGTATACGTAGAACACGTATATCAAACCTGCGTACTAAAATGTTTCTTCCTCTCTTCTAACCTTAAGAATGGTAAATATACATGTGCTTGACACCATAGGCCCAATTATGAGTAGAGGTATTTTCCAAACTGCCCCAAATTAACTAAAATGGTCTGATTTCGCTGTTTAGATACTTTGACCTTCTTTCCTAATCTCCAAGCAGATGTTTCGGTGTCCACAAAAGATATTGGCCCGGCATTATTTTGGGTGGCAAATGGATACTGTCTGGCCAATGGATACTGTCTGGCCAATTTGATACTGTCTTTTGTGGCCACTGAAACATCTGCTTGGAGATACATGCAACTTCACACACCAACACAAGATCACCCATGATCCTTCTATTTTCAAACATGCCATCATGAAGGAAATCAAATCAAGGGTACACTCTCCAAGCAGAGGTTAGGTTTGTTTGGGCTGGTTTTCAGGCGTTTTGCCGGGCTTGCTCTTCTATCAGCTTTTCCCTCGGTATATCAAGCATGTTCTCATCTCATCTACATATGTATTCCTTAGTCCAATTATTATTTAAAGGACCCATAACACTTATTGAAAACAGTAGGAGTCTAACTGTGATGTTACAGTCCTGTCTTGTAGGTATTGTACAAAGCTGGTATATTACGCATTTAGACAGTATACACGTTATGCAAAACAAACAAACAAACAAACAAACTTTAACAAACCGTTCGTACCCCGCTGATCCAGGCACTTCCAGCAGCTGCATCATCTTAACGTAAAAACCAATAATTTCCTGCGTTCAACAAGTCTTTGTTTTAGTTTTACCCTCTGAACACAATTTCACCACAGGCCTGATCTGGGAGTAACTGAAAACTGGGGACATATGAGAGGAACACATACTGAAGAGCTTATTATGGAGGCGGCTATGTTTGGTATCCTACTGACGTCAAACTGCCCAACTCGTGACAAGTGCACTTCCCAGCTATGTAAGGTCATACATAACCAGACACACCACTAGTCACATGATGGCTAGCTGTGGCATAGACAAGGAATATATATCACATTAGACTCTTTGCTGTCATACATCAATGTTATTGAAGAATCACTGAGGCGTCAGTCCTTTTTTCAGAATTTCTCAGGAGGAAGGGCTGTCAATACTAATACAGTCGTGACCGGTAAGGACATTAGCGTCCGCACAGCTGCTTAATTTCATCAATAATCCATAATGACAGTGTGCCTTCTGGGGTGATAACACTGGGCTCCAAATACTTCATCACGAATTTTCCTCATGTACATGTATACCTGTACCAGTGTAGGTAATTCATTCCATGATAAAGTAAGGTAGCTTCTATAGATACCAAACAAAATTATGTACGCTTCCAGTATTTTCTTATCCGTCAAAACACAATGTTTTCAAGATCTGCGGTATTCAAGGACATTTTATTGACTATTTATTTATTTACTTCATTATGACACAATTGAATGGCACTACAATCGGCTGTTGCTAATTCAAGGATACTATATCTATCTATTTATTTCATCGTAAATATCCTAGATAGCTCTATACTCTGTTGTATTCAATTTCAAGGATAGTATTTTCATTATATTTATATTTACATGTATTTTCATCAGAACACAACTGTATGGTGCTGTCCTGTCCTCCACTATTTTCCCTGGACATCTGTAGGGTCATATCTGATCCCGTCTTCTTCCTACAGAAATTCCCATATTTGAACCATGTCGGAGCATCTAACATTTCAAGCCCCCATACTGGCCCTGCACACACCCCCAGCACACCCATTTTTGCATACGAGCGCTATTAATAATTCAACGAATGCTCACGTTTCAAAACATAGGTCCCTGCCCTCCCTGCTCCTAATTGCTTTTTTTTTTAAAGAACGAAGGCATGGATCGATACTTCAACAAGCTTATAAAAGCTTTCTCCATTGCTAGCATCCAAGGGATATGTTTTAAAAATTAATTAACTAAAAAAATTAACAGCTATTACCTTTGGGAACTTCAACATTTGAAGGCTATGTCCAGTTTTAGGCCTTGTCAATTACGTGTATCAATATATGAAAAAAATGGGGTTATTTCCAGATAAAAAGTAAAAATTCTTAATCTGACCATCCTATATGTACTAATTGCAGTTATAAAGCACGTCGGCAGAACGTACTGCGCCTGCGCAGAACCCCGTATTTTCGCGTTTTTCGTTGGGTTTTTGGTCAACGTTGCATCAAAATTTTGCCTGTTGCAGAGGATATTCTTTCCGACACAACATTTAGAAACTACTGTCGAAATGCTAACCTTATATGAGTGAATACAACTTTATATGAGACGTTCTGCTGAAATGCTATGTACAATACATTACGGGTTTCGCGCAGGTGCAGTACGTTCTGCCGACGTGCTCAGTTATAATACTCTAGAAATAGTTTCAAAACACAGGTTCCTGCTCTCCCTGTCCCTAATCACTTTTTAAAAATAAATAAACCCAAAGGCATGGATCGATACCTTAACAAGCTTATATAAAAGCTTTCTCTATTTGCTAGTAACCAAAGGATAACTTGGGGAATGTTAAAAAAATTAATCAACTAAAAAATTAAGGGCTTTTATTACCTTTAGGAACTTAGCACGTTTTGAAGTGAGTCCGTGGCCAGTTTTAGGCCAAGGTCAATGCGTATAAATAAGAAAAAATGGGATTATTTCCAGATAAACAGTAAAAGCTCTAGCCATCCTACATATACTAATTGTAGTTATATTCTTAGTAATAGGCACACTTCCATCTCGAAAGATGATGATACATGTAAGTACTCTATTGGGGTTATGGCCATGTGCAGCGTCTTGCATGCTGCAACGTCTACATTTGTAGTCGTTATCTAATAAACGGTAGATACCATTTTTCATTCTTGGTATCAGTAAGTACAAATGTAGAACATAAAGACTGATTGAGGAAACTGATGAAGCTTTGTGAGATGGGCTGGAGGTCACTGGAATACGACCTTTCTGTCTGGGAATGTAAGACAGCTGCAGTGTCCTGTAAACCAGTGATGGAAATGATACGAATGGAACACGCAATAACTGGCTGTCAGGAAAGAGAGAAGGTTTACTGAAGTATCAGAGTACTGGGTAAAGGATAAGTTGACAAATGTGCTCACAAATAAAGTATGGACAGCACCTGTCAATATCACTTCTTTTTTATTTTTATTTTACTTTATTTTATCTTATTTGATTCGTTTTGGCTGAAGGTAGCAGGGGGCTATTAATATTAAGGGTGAACCTTAAGCTTGAGGCTAATACAAAATGTACAAGACGGGTTCACTAGGCCTCCATCCAGGTGATTTGTAGTGAATCACCAACTCCGAACTGCAATAGAATTTTGACCATTGCACACCGGAGCATGCCCCTACTCTTTTTCGAAGGGTGCGGTGGATTCTATAACGTGCGTAGCGCGTGGCTGTCCCCCAAACACAGGACCTCTCCCCCATTCAACGTCAATCCATATCACTTACTGCAAAGTATATGTCAGATGATCATACTTCAGATGAATGTCCTATCATGCAATTATTTCATGACAAAATGACTTTGCATGTTTCACTACCCCTAGTACCCTGACTAGTCTATCATGTGATACCATGTGACATCCTACCACCTTTCCCAGGAGTATGGCAGGAGAGTCATCTTGGCAAGAAAAATATCTGAGGCTGCCAAATACATCTGTCAGTATCTGTACTGATCTATCGTCGTGCCAATATCTGAAGAGCCGGCCTTGTATACATAGAGGAACTACTTTGTTTCTGTTGCTGGCATCTCTAAGATGTCAAAGTACGAGAAATCATGGAGAAACCAGCCAGTTTGCCTTGACTGCTGGATGATGTTTTTGTTTGACATACTGTTCCATGCCACACTGTAGCAATGCTGCATCTTTGCACCAAATTTGTATCACTATCAGTTATGGGGTTAGGCAGGAGGGACAAGGCTAAATCTGCAAAGCCAAATAAAGAATGAGGAATTAGATTTTTTCATACTCAGCACAATTTGTACGTTTTAGTGCCTTTTAAATCATACTTTTAAATCATCTAATCAGATTCCAAATACCAATGTACATTCATGGCACCAAAGGTGACAAAAATCCGTTTCTAGTCATTCAACAGTTGCTCAGTGATTTGCAATCTAGTAGCCTGGGTAACCAGACCGCCGTGAACTCAGCACTATCTCTTTGGCGCAGAGAGCGTTTCGGGCCGTCAACCTGAGGCCTCAATTACCGCATTTTGGGAGGGTTTCTTCGCTCACAACGGTCGGCGGCAACAGAAGACTGAGCGTAATGCAGGAAGTTAGCGGATACAGGGAAACCAGCAGGTCCGTGGTATAACTCGCCTGTGTGTGGTAAAGGCCAGGGCCGAAAAATTACCGAAAATCCTACCAAAGGTTTGGTACCCAGGCTAACAATCTAGGGGAAGGGGGCCTAAGACTTTGGTTCACCCGATCCTATGCAAGATAACCTCTCCCGCATGAGATGGTGCATAGTTACTCCAAACAAAGTGTTGTATATCAGCAGGTACTGTACACCCTTTTACCTAACTGGCCCATGACAGTCAGTAGGACGCTTGAAATGAAACACCGAACCAGCATGTTCAGGGCTCGAAGTATACCACCTGCATATGCAGGATGGTGCAGGTAAAACTGGAATTTGGAGATTTCTGAAGTCTTCACCTAACCTGCATGCAGTGGTCCCTGTGTGCCCTTGGTTAGCTTCAGCTCACAAATACTTCGTCAGCTTTATCCCCAAAACTTTCTACCTACAGTGTGTTCATGTAAGACCAGTGAGTTTTGGGGCCAACATTATAGCTAAGAGCAGCTTTACTTGGTTGCCAGACTACATAGAACTACATGCATGGTGCTTCAAGCCTTATATAATTTTTTAAGCCTGCCTGTCTGAGACAATACAATACGTGTACCTCTCCACCCTCAGTTTGGTATTGTAAATTACATGGCTCCAGCATGGCATGTATGGTAGGCAACATTTGGAATGCAGTTTAGAGTAATATTAGAGCTAATGTTGTTAGATTAGTATCAGAGGTCCTGTCTGTACTATATACATTTATACCTGTTTTACACCTGTACTGAGCCCAATAGGGCATGAATGTACATTAAAGGTTATCTGTTTTCGGTATTCTGTTTATTAAAAAGAAGGCTTGTGGCTTGTACATGCAAGTATCTGGAGTAAGAGTGCTAGAAATTGCAAGATTTACATACCACAGAACGATAATTAGGGGTATGTACACCCTAAAATATGTGTATCATGCCTCATTATGCAGGTACTTGGACAGCTTCCAATTGTATTGTTTCCTTTGACACCTTGACAACACACAGGTGACCCCATTTCCTACCCCACACTAGTGATGACAGTACTAGTATACTGGGTGTAAGGCTTTATAAATAATTAAGACTTTTAGATTTTAAAATACACTACAACGTCTACAAGTGTAGTTAATGCTGTCTAAATTCAAATTTGTCCAAATATTTAGGCTGAAAGCTCCAGTAAAACTAAAAGGACAGGACGACAACTGAGTATAATAAGTTCTTGTTTCACAGTTGCAGTTCTGTTGGTACTGACATACCTGGCCCCAGGCCAAAATGCTATCTTCTTACCTTACTTGAATACAGTTGCCAGGTCTTGTTACCTTAGCTGAATACAGTGGCCAGGACAGGTGGGCATTTGTTTTGTTTACAGTCTTGCTTTACAAGCCGAGCTGGGGGCCTGGGACCCAAGCCAAAATATTGTTAAAATACTAGTGAGGTAACCCTCTATTTTAAACCTCCAGGTAGTAAACTCAATACAAACCGAGGTAATTACAAATTCCCCGTTGTCATCCATTCATACGTGTATACAGTATGTGTATAGTAGAAAGACTTGGACGCATTCCAAGCCAAGCATTCACAAAAACAGGAATTGCGTAGCTTTAGCGCTGGCTTCGTGACAAGGAAACACAAGAGTATGTAACACTGCGAAAAGCTTTTAAATAGAAATACACATGCACAGTAACGTTAGTTTACATGCTTTCCAGTGCAGTGAATATTAAAATATTATGAGTTACGTTTGAGTTCCAAATGATAAAACAAGGACTATCTTGAAAACGGTTCACCAGCAGAACAGTAAGAAGTCTATGCAAACAGAACGCTTCATTAACAGGTTGACGAAAATATCCTGCATAAATTCCCTTTGTATCAACACAACATACGTACATGACAGTTTAGCATTGACGTTATAAAACAGGATATCCGCTAGCCCCCCTCCCACTACTATACGTACATGTACCTCGTGCCCAACAACACACACAAGAGGGCGCGGTCACATGTGGCCGAAAATCCCGAAAAAATAGCGTCAATCAGCGTAGATATGACACTTTAGAGAAACATAATTTAGTAAACTATATGCTGTACCTATCAGTGTTAGTATTACAATACCATAGCGGCCTCTGTCGTCTGATAAACTACCAGAAAACAGGGCTTCGTGTTCGCATATTTTTCATGGCGAATTCACAGAAGCCGGCCGGCACATGTGGCATGTTTTTACCTCGCGAAAATTCTAAAAATGATCCCAAAATTACAACTCACCTGGTCCGCTGTCGTCTTTAAAGTGTTCCTTGAAAGCTGCTTGTGGTATTTCTGCAAAATCAAGCTCCTTCTTGGCTAAATTTTCGCTTGAAATCTGAAGGTTGTTCGTACGACACGTCCTTTTATCAGCAGTCTCGTGACTGAGTCTACTACACCGAACCTCCGAATCACACTGCGTCACCGTTATGCAAATGAGCTGGATGTAAATACGCGCTCTGCCTCAAGCCGGTTTCGCGCCAAATTTTCTCACGCGTACCAGGTGTACAACTTCCTGTATGAAATTTTGAAGTGTGGAGCTTCTTGTTTCTTAAAGTGCGCAGGAGAAAATTCTGCGGGCTTTCCACGAGTATTTCTATGTTTATGTGCGAGGGATTTTCCCTAGTGTTGGACCAAGTATGTGAGGTCATATGATAACAAACAGAGCACGCGAAAACCCTTGGGAATTCATCATCTTGTTTTTCAGCTTTACTTTGCACACGTGTAAAAATTCGTCATCAAAACATGAGAATGAAAGAGAGCGCACAAAAATAGCCGAATGATGCAAGATCTCGCCTGTTTTGGCTCAGATCTTGGTGGCGAGACCGGTGACGACAGCGTATGGAGACGGCTGTTGACCAATCAGGGATCGCCAAGAAGCCGACGCCTGACTCACGCCTCTGTAAAACGGGTCACGCGCCGCGCGTATCAGGTTTCACTCTTGGCAACGTGCCAGACGTGACGTCATTTCCAAACAAGAAACTTCTTCACACAAGCCAAACGCGAGTCATGCTAAATCTTCAAGCAGACGTTTCGAGGGCCGCAAAATATCAAGTATCAAATTGGCCAGGCAGTATGCATTTGTTGGGTGCAAATGGATAAAGTCTGGCCAACGGATACTGCCTGGGCAATTTGATACTGTATTTTGCGGCCACCGAAACATCTGCTTGGAGATTAAGACTTAAGTTATGCAAGCAGATCTTAGCCTCGTAACCATTCGATTTGTAACGGGTCTCGTTGTACTCGCTTGCCCTATTTTTGTTTCAGGCTAGCGAATGCTGAAGAACCCCGTTCCAAATCGGATAGCATGTAACACCGGTGTTAAGTTAACGTTTGACATATGTCACAGGGGAGATTGGAATCCAGGGGGATCCGGAATCCTCCTAGGGGAGATTGGAATCCCTATCTCCCCTAGGGGAGATTGGAATCCCTATCTCCTCTAGGAGAATCTGGAATCCTGGGAACTATGAGTTCTAGTTATATTTCAGTCCATACCATGGTATGGATGAAATATATTGTGTTCCCTCATGTTTCTCCTTCTCCTCCTTCTCCTCCTCCTGCCAAACAGTCAAAGGGATTCAACTCCGCCATCATTCAGCCAAATGACCTGAAATTTGGCATGGAGGTAGAGTGGGCAAATACCCCCAGTACGTTTTTTTTTTCATTTTTTTGAAACATGCCTTTGAAAAATTTTTATGAAGGTTTTTTGGGGCATTTTTCGACAAAAAATGGATTTTTGGATCCTGAGCCCTGGTATTACAACCAAATGACATGACATTCAGTATAAGGGTACCTTGAACGTGTGTCTACAGAATAGCAGTCATGTATTTGGCATACACCACTTCCAAATGACTCATTTGGGGGACTTTAATGGCTATTTTCACCAAAAAAGGGCCCAAAGTGCTGTACCCGTTCCATGTTCTATCTAAAGAATATTAATGGCCGGTTCCATCCATGGAACACGTGTTCCATTGCGGGTTACCTGAGGTCACATTGCACCTAAGTGGTGCGTAATGACCCACACATTCAATTTTATGTGCCTAAGACCTTCAAAATGTATCAAATCTCATCATTGTTAGTTTTTGCATACCTGTAATAAGATTAGTAAAGCTTTCGAGATTCAAAGTACTTGTTGTTGCATCTTTGTTCTCATATAGCTACTATTTAATTCATTTATTTGAGAACCTTTGCCAGTTTTGCACTGGGGTAAGTTTGGAATAGTCCACTTTTGCGTGGGAGGGAGATGGACTGAAATATGCTGTATTTGCTCCCAAGCAAATGTCGGCCTTTCTAGTTTTACTACTAAATTGGGATCTGATGACAAGGATTCCAATCTCTACTAGGAGGATTCCAGTCTCCCCTAGGTGGATTCCGGATCCCCCTGGATTCCAATCTCCCCTGTGACATATGTCTATACATACACAGGACAAGGAAAACACACTTAGACTGTCCTTGGTGCTGAACGCTATCCACACACACGTGTGTGTGTATCAAGTTTATGTACAGATTTGTTTATTTGCATTTATGATCTGTTATGAGTTCACTCTGTTCTGCTTAATTGTATATAGCCTAACTTTATTTGTGTTCACATTTTGTTTGGATTCTGTACCTCTGTTTCTCTGTTGTTTATGTATTATTTATTCTCAAACGGTGTCGTATAAGCCCACACGGGCTGGGCGTGGTATGCGCACGACACGAAAATAAAGTTTCATTCATTCATTCATTCATTCATTCATTCATTCACACGAAAATACACCTATCCTGTCCTTGGTACTGACAGTCCATGGAAAGTGGGATTTACCGATGAAGACTAATTATGGTTACCGTAGGCGATAATTAGTATTGATAAGTCCCATAGTTTGGTAAATCCCACTTTATTTTGTACACATACCGCAGTGTTTTCAATATCACGCCCACACCACCCCAAATCGGACGGAAATCGTCAGCAGATATGGCAGGGAAAACATCAGGTAACACTAGTGGCTCGAAACTACACCCAAAACCGGGATTTACCAAAAACAATTAATAATTATGTCCAAACAATAGCGGTATACGTCAGAATGTCTGGTAATCTTTGCCTAGAGCATGAAATACCAAGAGCAAGTGTGGCGTAACGGTAGACTCAAGAGGTCCTTTGTTCGAATCCTGCCCGATGCTACCGATCTTGTGCCGGAAAAGGCACTTTACACGACTTTCCTCACTTCACTCAGGTGTAAATGAGTACATAGCTTCAGTTAGGGACGTCCCTCGGATAGGACGTTAAATGGAAGTCCCGTATTTGGGAGAGCCACACCCCACGCACGTTAAAGAACCCACCGCACTTATCAAAAAGAGTAGGGGACCTTCCCGGTGTGAGTGGTTCAAACCTTACAGTCCGGTCTTACGCAGCTTGTGTGTTACGCCTAAAAAGGCGATTTGCCGGTTATGCGAAACAAACAAGTAACGATTAAGCCCAATAACAACACCTATACGCCTGAAACAGGCTATGGATGCGTAATTTTCCATTGACCTTTGAATAGCAGAATTTTGACACTGACTGTGTATTTTCTGAGACTGACAGGTTCCCTGCTAATAACTGATCCTCGACCGAGGAAGCCAGACAGTGACTTCCCCATGTTTCTATGACGGAGAGAAATTGTACAGTTTCTTTGGATTCTGTCACAAGTACCTCCATAGTGCACTGTTCCGCTCCCGGCTATAAACCTGTTGCAAACATGATCTTATTCAGTGGGTATAAGATATACAATAACGTACTCGTCGAAACACGTTAACGTTATATGTCCGAAAAAGACATATAAATGCAAACATATGTTGTTGACAGGGACTTTGCTCTTCATGTTAATGACCAAGAAATGTTTGTCGAATCACAACCGAACCACTTTATCTTTGATCAGCAAGGATTTTACTTTTGAACCAGGAAGCCACTCATCATCAAGTTTCCCTGACTGTCTATTGTCTGAGCTTGACAGCTAACTTACTTGGGGATCTTCAACCACCTGTGTTTCATCCCACAGTTTCATCCCGGCGGTTATTTTTCCGAGATAGGACTGCTAAGTAACTTACCTGAAGATTTAAGGTGCCACCCATCAAAAAGTCGCACTGACTGTCTATTAATATTGTTTCAGACTGACAGATGCCTGGGGCACCGTTAGGCGTGCGTGAGAACATTGAAACTATGATCTGGTTCAGACTCAAAGGGTATAAGATATGCAATAACGCACTAGTTGAAACAACTTGACCGCCCGAAACAGGCGTATGAATGCAAACATATGTCGTTGTAGGCTGAGAAAACATGGATCACAGCAGAAAATGGTCGAATCGCTGCCGATCTTTGATCAGAAAGTATTTGACTTTTGAACCTAAAACCCACCCATCACCAATTTGCACTGTCTATTGACAATGACAGATAGCTTTAGGACTTGATAGCTTGTGGGAGCTATAACCACATGTGCGTCGTGACGAAGGCTATCTTAAGACCGTGGGAAAGCCAAGTATCTGTCTCTGCCATCCCGAAGGCGATCGCAAAGAGTGACGTAATTTTTTACCAATGGGAGTTTGCTATGCCTTTGCCACCCCCATTCAAAAAGGGGCGTTTTTGTACGCAATGCTGAGCTGTATATAAAAAGTAGACCAGAGGAACTCGCCCTTCACTGGGCGGAAGTGGTTCTGTACCAAGACAGGACCGTGCGGTGGCTAAGATTGGTGTTCATTGTCACAGACAGGTAGGAACTTTTCAGTTATAACTTCGAGATATTTCAGGAAGTTGTCATCTGTCACTGTGTGAATATGAGTATCGAGTTAACTGTTACCTTATAAAAAATCGTAATGTAGTTTCGTGCAACAAAAAGTTGATAAAGTATAACGCTATATAGAATACCAGTCGAAGGGCCAATGCTCTGGAACACGCTTATTTTGTGATAGGGCGCTTTTGACGCCGAGCGCTTCCCGTGAAAACATCCTTTACGTTTACACGCGGGGCACAAAAATGGCTTGGTGTTTCCTTTTAGATTTTGGCATGCTAAAGAACAAGGCTTTAACAAGTCCAACCGTGTTTAATTTTTTTTAGAGATGAATAAAAGTTTTAGATGAAATTTGAAGTTGCCCGGGCCGTACCGTAAAGAAGCCCGGGCCGTACCGTAAAGAAGCCCGCGGGCCGTACGCGTAAAGGAGCCCGGGCTGTACAGTAAAGAAGCCCGGGCTGTACAGTAAAGAAGCCTGGGCCGTACCGTAAAGAAGCCCGGGCCGTACCGTAAAGAAGCCCGGGCCGTACCGTAAAGTACGGCCCGGTCCGGAACACCCTTATCGAACGTAATCGCGGCCCAGGTATGACATAAAGGCCATTTATTTTATCCGCACAAGGCAGTCTGACCAAAGCTCGCTGAAGCCGCTGTAGTACTAATGTACTGCACTCATCTACATGTAACTACGTACAACAATTCGCGGTATTTTTCATGTTACTCGTATCTGTATAAGTCCAATAACCAACTTA